AGAGCTGAAGAGTACATTTAATCACTTATAAAGCTACTTTCTTACAAATCTTTTTAAATTAGCTTATTATTTTTTTAGTAGAACTTAAAAGATTGTGGATTATTTCGATGTTTCAGGTTTTATATTCTTTTACTTCTGGGATTAGTATTAATTCTATCGAAATTAATATCTTATTAAGAATCTTCTGTCTACATAGTGTAAACTAAATCCTCATCATCTCTATAATATTCAATAAAATCATCATTGTAATCAACTAGATTTTATACTTTCTACATATTCTGATCTTTATTTGAATTATAATCGGGATATCTGCTTTTCTAAGTATTTATAGTTGAACTGTGACGATGTCTTAATCTTCTCTAATCTCTTTCAAAATGATCTATTTCAGAGTTTTCAACCTATTTAGATTTTGCTATACTTTCAATTTTTTCAAGATTAAGAGTGATTAAAAGTCTTTCTATATTAAGCTTGTTTAATTTTAGATCTCCTTTTCTAAATCTCTTCTTTATTAATTTAAGTTAGCTAATTAGTTGTTGATAATAGTTTATATTTTGTTAATCAATATCGTGACTGATAATTTCAACTTATAATTTAGACTAGTTTAAGCATAAACATAAGGCTAAATAGATTTTAGGGAATTTTTCTCTAAATTTCGCTCTTCCTTCATCATACATCTTAAGAGCCCAGTAAGCGAAAAATAGCAAATTCGAGAATAAAATCAGAGCAAAAAAGAATCTTTAAAAGCCAATTGATAATGATACTGAGCCTCTTGCATAATCTGGGTTTTCTTCAATCCAGGTCTTAGGCTTATTTAAGATAAAAAATAGTCCACAATATATTGTAACCATAGATGTTATTAGTGATAGTGTTTCCAAATCATTGAGGACAAGCGTGTTGAAAGGCTATTTCTTAAAATTAATCAACAAAAATATGATGAGAATGAAGAATACTATAAGAGCCTAGGCTACTATTCCAAAGTTACTAATAAATACCGCAGCAAATATTATCAAGATTTTTCTATACATTATTACGATTTCCCAATAATAGTAATCCTTCCTATATCCTCTATATAGAAATCCAAATCTTTATCTAATTTCAAAGTTATCTAATTTCTTTCTTTTTGCAATAAGAATAGATAATGCAAAAAATGGAATGCCTAGTCCCCATACTATTATGCAAGGAAGTGCCACAAAATAACTATAAAATGTGTGCTCTGGAGACCAACATATAATTTCCAAATCATCTTATACTCTATATTGTCCATCTACTTCTTTGCACTTAAAATCATTGAATGAATAAGTGACTAAACTTGGATGGACCAAAAATAGCAAGATGACTAAACTTGACATTATTTTACTGCTAATTCTAACTGAATTTCTCATAAGTTTCTTATATATATTCCAAATTAGTGAGGAAATAATTGCAAGTAGGAAGGGTAAGAGTGCTATGATAATTAATTTTTAGAAAAATATTCTCGACATTTGAGAACCTTTGCTCTCACCTCTAGTATCTAAGAAACAATCAAAACTGAAAATTTAAGTTGATTATGTTGCGACTTATTTCGTTGTTGTGAAAAAACTAACTATTTATTATGACCATTAGAAATCGAAAGAGGCTGTCATAAGGATTAGTTGGAAGTGATTAAGTAGAATTTTCAGATAAATGCTTGTAACATTATTTATATCTTGAGCTCCTTTCAAAGTTGATCTTATTATCAGAACAATAAGTATTACAATTGCTATGAATATCGTTATTAGCCTAAGTACATTTAACGCAGGTTCAGGACATTCTGCACATTAGTAATCATTATCTCTAGAGTATCCATTCATACAGTCAGCACAAAGGATACCTTGGTATCCTATAAAGCATTCTCCGAGAGGATTATTTTAAGGAGGAACCATTCCCAAGCAAGCTTGTGCAAAAAGACATTATATAAAAACCTTTGACTGATTATTTTTTCTCCAAAATCCTGGTTAAGGACCTATTTCAGCTCCACCATTGCAGATAGCTTTTTCAGTTGGGCAATTTTCACAAGTTCCTGGTTATTTCATTTTTATCAAAGAAAAGCTCTATTCACATTTCTAACATTTTCCAATCACTGTGAATTATTCACCAATTTCACATTCTCTCAGCTAAATTTACAAGTCAGAATCTAAGTTTAATGTACCCTTTTCTGCCATTTCATCTTGATTTGATTTTTTACTTAAATCAATTCCATCAGTTGTTATAACAAGTTTGTAAGCACTACCAGGATTTCCAGAAATTGAAATTTAATATATTAAGGCTATACCTCCTACTATGTCAAAGGAAAGAGTGCCCTCAAGGATTGGTGGATATAAGCTCTGCTTTGCATCCAAATTTGTAGTTTCAACACTTACTCTTACTTTACTTTTAAAATCTGATCCAACTATCTACCCATATTTGTCTTGAAGGGCCATATATAAATTCGGTAAGCTACCTCCACTTCTTTGAGATTTTATTTCTATAGAAGAATATTTTTCATCTTCTAATAGTCTTAATGCCTAATCATCTTAAGTTAATATTCCCAACTAAATCATTTGATTAAGGTAATCCTAATATGTAACAGAATTTAGATTTTGAGAGAAGCATGCAATATCATTTCCATAATACATCGCTATATTATTAGCGAAGCGCAAATCATTTTTTTAATAAATAGGTTCCAGTTCATCCCAAAATATGGCTCCTCCTTGAATTTCAGCGAAATTATCTTTGAATATATTTACTCCTTCAAATTTCATTATACAATTTAGCAATTAACTGTTGCAAGTATAATAAATTGCACCACCTGAACCTCTGTTTTATATTTAAAGATTTCTTCCCTTTTAAATATTAGCTTTATTTTAGTTAAAAGTTGAATTAATTATTTTAAGTGATTAAGGATTGTCTGCATTTATAGCACCACCAATCTCGGCTGAGCAATTATGAAATTAAGAATTTTAAATTACAAACTTTTCAGTATTTTATTGCTAAGTTGTGTCTTTGTTTACATCAAGTTCTATCAAGTAAATTGCCCCACCTTCTATGCTTTTTAAATTTATAAACTAAGATGATTTTATTTGAAATCCTTTACAATAATTACAGAATAATCCTGCTCCTCTCTTTGATAATGAATTTTGATTAATATCTTTAATTAGCATATTTTCTGCATGTAATATTGCCGATTCAATGTAAATCGAATTTTTTGAATTTAAACTTGATATGTAAACATTTTATATGGTTAAAATGTTAAAAGAGTTAGTAATGTAAATATCATCTCCATTTTCTAGAGCAGAGTTATTTATGAATTATGATCCCTCTCCAATGAAGATACTCTTAAAGCCAGATGAGTAAATTGCTCCACCTTTTGAATTTGCCTGACTATTTGTAAATTAAGATTTAGTGATTCGAATAAAACTATCTCCTGAAATATAAATTGAACCACCTAAATAAGAAGCTCCATTTTTAAACTCACAATTATCAATATCCATAAAAACATCAAATATCAAAAATATAAATGAACCAATAGTCTCATCTTGTTTTAGAGTAATACTATCAAGCTGTTTACTTTGAAAAAGAGTATTGGATATAGTAATATTGACGAATCCCAAAAGCAAATTCTTAGATCTGTACTTAGCATAATTATTCTTGAATGTAAGATCTTTAAAAACAGCATTAGCATATATCATTGAAATTGTATTCTTTAAGGCATAATTATCATGGAAGTCACAATTTTATATGGTGACATTCTCCTTTATGAATGTGCTAAGAATTTCAAGAGCGGAATTCTCTTCAGCTTTATTTTATTTGAATGAACTTCCAATGATATTTATTATTGATTAAGTTGTGACATATATTGCACCAGCTGATTTAGTTGCTTGATTTTACACGAATTTGCAATTTGAAATGCTAATATTTGAATTTGAAACGGCATAAATTGCACCTGCTGTTTATGCTAAATTACCAATGAATTATGATTGAGTCAAAGATACGTTCGTTTCTTGAGCATTAATTACTCCACCATACTAACCAGAATTAGCACTGTAAATTGATTTATAATCTGTAAAACTTGTTTTCTATAGTGAAAATAAGCCTCCTTAAGAAGATTTCCCACATTTTTAGAAAATATTATTTCTAAGAGTAATGCTAACAATATTTTGCAATTGAAACTATCCTTTATTGGAACTTTAATACTACCAGTCAGAAAGATCACTTATTTCAGAATCTTAATTATAGAATTTATCACATATTATAGTCGAAGCTGTAATCACTAATCTCATTGAAAAAGAAGAGGATGAAATAAAAGCTCCAGTTATAGATTAAAATTCAGTAAATTTAGAGTTTTCAATTAAGATCATATCTGAGTCAGTTACATAGAAGATACCTCCCTAAACCTTAGAATTTATTTTCTTTAACTCATTATTTCGAAGTGATAAGTTTGTATTAGGGCTATTAATATATATGAAGCCACCTTAATTAGAGTAGGTATTTGATATGTTTTTTGAATCTTAAATTTCTATGATAGAATCATCTCTATAACTTGACTTTTCATTGAATAAAAACCCACCTAGCATTTTTGCTTTAATATTATAGGCAGTGATATTTTTAAGATTCACTTTGCTAAATCCTGAAATATAGAATGCTCCTCCTGATACGTCAGATTCAACATCATGAATTATTGAATCTTGCATTAATAAAGTACAGTCTATGCATGAAACTATAGAACCGTACATGCCATTTAAATCATAAAACTGTGATCCTTTATCTGAGTATAAGTATGTTTAAATCCTTACAATAGGTCCTTAATTAGATTTTCTACAATTTTTGAATATGCAGTTCTCAGTATGCAAGCCAGCTATCCCTTCATAACGTATAATTCCTTCATTAGATTAAACATAATAGCCATTTACCGAATCAGAAATAATTGTAGTTTCACAGTTAATCGTAGTATCCTTGATATATACTGCATTTTGAACTCTTTAAAATCCATCTAATATATTAAGAAATTATGTAGGAAACGTTGAAAAGAAATCTGAAAATTCAGTCCTTTGATACTATGGAAGTGAAGATATATAAAGGCCAGTTCTTAGTCCTATCATGTAGAAAATTGCATGACTATTAGCTCTAACATTCCTCACAGTAATTGACTAAATAATGAAGAGCAATTATCTATCATATTGATAGATAAAGCCCCCATACCCAGCAAGCATTGTTATCTTTTCAAATGTTGAATTTCTAATAGTTACAGTCCTGTGAAGTCTCAAATCAGTTTCATCAGCAATAAAAGAAAAGATTCCTCCATTTGACTCGAAACTCCCTCCAGCTTATGTCACATTGAAAAAAATGCAATTGTGCACAAATAGTTGTTAAATAGTATTAGAATAAACTGCACCATGAACATTAGTAATAAGATTCTTCACTGTATTATTATAAAGAAAAGCCTTATTTTTGTTGAAACTATAGATTCCACTATATAGACCTTCAAGATCATGGTAATTAGAATTCATGTCAACAAATAACGATGAATCTTATTAAAATACAATAAGTCCTTGGGTCATGGGAGTGGTTTAGCTGTTCATTATACAATTTTGCATATAGAGGGTATCTATGAGAAACTACTTAGCCGAATTAACAAATATTGGAGTCATTATATCTAAATTCGAATGATACCCCTATCCAATAGATTCAAAATTAAATTCGAGAAGTCTTTAAGCTTAGTAGTTATAATCTAATTGTTCATCATTATCTACTAAATTTCTCCAATAGTTGTAAGGAGGATTAGTGTATTCATCATTCTCAGTTCTGCAAAAAATTTATGAAAAGCGAACACTCACAGATTCTGTTACATAATCTATGTACAAGAAACCTGAATTAGTAACCGAGTAAATACTAGATACATAAAAGTTTGAAATATCAACTAAATTTGCTGACTGAATTAAAATTGAGTTGTAGCTTTGACCATAGGATTAGACTAATTAGCAATCCGAGAAGTATACATTTGTATGTAAACTATAAACTTTAATTGAACTAGCGGTATGTGCCTAAATTAAAGTAAAATCTACATTTCTGAACTCTAGACTATAAAACTAAGAATTAAAAGTTTCTTAAGATAGAGTAGAATCTTCAACTATGTAGTAAACACATGCTGCCTCATTCTCTGAATAAAGGCTTCTAAAAAACGAGCCCAAGATTAAAACATCTCCTCTTGGATTTTAAATAAATAATCCTGCTCCTTAAACTCTAGCAACACTTGTTGAGAATAATATATTTTCTAAAACAGATTCTTAAAGATTATCCAAATACATAGAAGCGCCATATAGTGAGAACATACCATAAAAATTGCATCTTAAAGCAGATAAAGTCCCTCCAAAAATATATATTGCACCACCTGTTTTTGCAAAGAAGTTACCATAGAATGAATTAAAAATTAGTATAGTTTATTATGGATTTAATAGAGTGATCCCCCCAGAATTCTCTGCAGATATAGGTTCAGGGTATTAAGTTAAAGCCTGTCTTTCAATCTATTTGAAAATTGAGTTAGAGAGAATAAAATTCAGCCCATTTTTCTAAGAATAGATTTATGATCCATTTGAAGCTGAATAAGAATCAATTAGCACTAAGTTGTCAATATTACTGAAATTAGCCTCATTAATAAATAGAAATCCACCTAATCCAAGTATTGATTCAGTTGTCTAGCAAGTATTATCATATAGTTCAAATTACATGTCTTTAGAATCAATATAAAAAGATCCTCCATCATATAGACTTATAACATTACTTAATTCTATATTCTGACCTAGGAATTAAGGAAATGTACTTTATCCTGACTAGATTGAAGTATCTTACTATACCTCATCATTTGATGAATATAAAACAGCCCCACTTTATAAAGCTCTTACACGAAGTATTCATCCCGCACTTAACTAAATTTGAGAAAAACCTTTTTGATAAATCATCCCACCAAAGATAGCAATACAATTTTCTATGTAAAAATTAGTCATGCTTACATTAGCATTATAAGTGTACATTAATCCTCCTTGTTCAGCTCCATCATCAATGTAAGATGAAAAATCATCAATTAAAGTTGCATTTTAGATGTTGAAGATACTACCATTTTTAGCAAAATAACACTACTAATAGATATTCGATATACTCAAAAGTTGTACTCCATCTAATATCATCATTAGACTTTCTGAGTCAAAAGAAATCATAGAATTAATATTATCATGATATTGTAAGTACTCTCTATCAAAATATTCTGTGGGTATTGAATCATATTGGCAATAAAACAGACTATTCGTAATTTCTATTTATATGTTACCCACTGCATATATCGCATTAGCGAATGAATATTAGTATTTAAATGTGTCTAATTTTATTGAATTTATTCCTTCTGCATATATTAAAGATCCCTTACTGCTTCCTGTATACATGGTCATTGCATAAGATTCCATTATAATATTAATCCCTTTACCTTTAGCATAAATTAAACCTCCATTTACTAATTTGCCAAAATCAAAATCAATTATTTAAGGATTGAAACCTATGAAATAAGACTCTTTTAAATTTATAGTGATTTGGCCTTCTTCATCTCCTGCATATATACATGTTCCATTTTTGGTGGACCAAAGAGCCCCAAATTCTGAATTTTTTATTTCTATGAAGGAATCTCCAACTATTTCGAGTAAACCTCCAAA